TGGGATACCTCTGACCACAGCATGAGTGAAGCAGCCGTACGGATATATGTTGGCCATGACGGCGTGTATATGAATGGTATGTTTGTGTAGGCTCGACTGTATGTGTGTGTGAGGGACTCTGATTCACAAACTGAGCAAGTTTGAAGTCTATGAAGGACAGTCCTGGAGTGGAAGTGATTGGAAGCCTCTGGCAACAGCAACTGGATCAGCAAATCATTCTTGACGTCCCTGAATCCCCAGGGCAGAAACCTCCAGGAGTGTGTGTCCCTTTAATACTGCCTGAGACAGAGAAAATAAATTGAGAGAGAGAGAGAGAGAAAAAAAAAAAACATATTTTGAAGAGCTACCAAACCAATTAATGTGTGAATCTTTGGGTCTGGGGACCTCTAGGATCTAAAGTTGAAACGAATCAACCTGATGCCGCTTGAGAGCTAAATTAAAAACCCTTCAGCGGAATAAATAATGTCTTTTACCTGGACTTTAAAGTGGACTCAAAGATGTTCTGATTTTTCAGTTGTCACAGTGTCTCATTCCACATTAGTTTCCCGTTTCTGTTTATCAAGTAAGCAGCTTTAAACCATTCAATGTATAACTGCACTGAACAAATGATTTAAAGTTTTTTTTTCTACCTTGAATCTGTTAAAAAAAAATGTTTAACAGCTGTCAGTGGCTTATGCACATGAACTGTTTTCAAATGAACTTGGAGTAAATGTAATGCATGATATTTTAGCATATGTGTGTGTGACAAATTATATCACGTGTGTGTATATCCCCCCCAAAAAAAAAGTTGCAAAAATTACTTTGGTTCTAGCATGTAACCAGAGTAGGTGGTTATTCTTTTAAATCAGCCATACTTTAAGAAATTTCTACAACAAACATTTTTGGACATAATCTGTATTTTAAAATCATTTACAAATCATATAAAAGTTACTGCAGATAAGGGAACAACTGTATCCACATTGTTCAGGAAAAACAAAACTGTTGAATCTGGAAGTGTAGTGTACGACCAATCAAATATACTACTGTAGCTTCCAAACATAGACGAGAACACCCTCGAACAAAACGTGTTTGTTTGGGTAACATCTCTACTGCCGATATCGGTCTTTACAAAGCAGCAGCACGCAAACCCAGTGGTGCAAACATGAACAAAACACGAGTTCAATGCACTTTTCCCGAGATTAGAAGAAATGAAACGTTTCTGTAAAGTCGCCGCTGATACACAAAAGCGGTTCAACAGTTGCCCAAAGTGTCTCGGCTGCCAAAGTTGACGCCCTGTTGAAATACGACAAACTCGAGAAACAAAAACCCTACCTTATGATGCGATGAAACGCGTTAATGCGGGTTGTTTCTGTGAAGGCGCCGAGCTGTTTTGACCGCCTCGCACAAACCCCACAACGTTATTCTCCTCTCTCCCTTCCCCCTCAGTCCATCCAGTGTCCAGTCCCTGTGCTTTCCTCCTGCCTGACCAGAAGCGATACTAACTGGGGACCTACTCATCACGACTTCAACTAGGACCTCAGACCTGATAACCAGGGGAACGCAGGGGAGTCTTCCTACAGTGTTTTGTAACTTTAGCCTACCTCTGAGCCAAAGTGACAGCGCTGCTTGAAACTTGCCAACTCTGATCCGCATTAAAGACATTCCTGACCATATTTCGGGATTTTCCACTTACCAGTCCTGCTGTTTACAGTGCCACACCCCCATCGCTCCCAGTCTTTCCATCGTGTGCCTGGACTGGAAACTAGGGATGGGCGTATCGATACAAAGTATCGATATATCGATACTGACGCGAGTATCGAAAGTATCGATACTCAAACAAAAATATCGATACTAAGGTGCATTTTATTTACCAGTGGTTTTGTTTATTTAACAACAATACTAATAATAATGCGTACAATATGCATTGAATTGGACGAATAACCTTTGTTAGCGAGTAATTGTGTAGGATAGAACTAGTTTCCTGCTCATCTGAATACACGCAAATGTTGCAAGACAGAACCAATCAATCACAGAGAGCGTTCACTCACTGCTGACAGTGCATTCAAACAGGGCTGCGTTTCCCAAAAGTATCATAAGAAAGCATTAAAGCTTTTGGGAACGGCAACCCTGAACAATGCTTATCAGAGGACAGAAAAAAACATAAATGTTTGAGTTATTTCACAGTAAACAAATTGCAATTGTAGCCTACATAGTTTGTGCAATTACAATTATTTAAATTGAACGTTGAAAGATAATATTGATCATGTAAAAGTTGCATTTTATGCATGCAACAGCCATTCACTGGCAGTCCCTAATGGCAGTATAAATATTGCACTAAATCAAAAGTTCAAATGTTACAAATAAGTTAGAATATTAATGTTGTAATACTGGTAGCACTAATATAAAAATGTGATGATATATGTTACAAAAAAGTAACAATTTTGAAATACGTTGATGGTTGTATTTTTTTGTATTTGATCTCAGTATTCCTATCAATGTTGTATAAGGGTTTTTTATGCATAATAGTAACCCTAGAATGTGATCAAACAGTTTAAAATAGCTGGGTAAAAGTTTAGTGCAGAAGTATCGAATCGGTATCGATATCGACGATACTGCCTTGAAAAGTATCGGTATCGTATCGAAAACAAAATAAGGGGTATCGCCCATCCCTACTGGAAACTTCTGGAAAGATAGGGGGGAAGTATGGAGGCATAGCTACTCATTCATGCTAAATAATGCGTGTCTGAGCTATTCACAGTTAACCAGCCCTAGTCTGTGTTCTGTTGTCTGCAGCTGTTCTCTAATCCACTCTTTTAATATGTAGGTCAGGTTTAGCTGTGTCCTCTGTCTCATCAAATTGCAGATTATTTGTGAAATGTATCTGTGTTGTATTGCTATAATGGGGTGGTGTTTCAGACAGGACTGTGGTGGGTTGACCTCAGACCCTCAGGAGGATTTGGGGGAATGCTTTCCTACTATGAAAACTTTTTTTTTTTTAGTTAAATGCATCTTTCTGGTTCATTTTACGAGCAAAATTAAGAGGCCATACCTCTTTCATTGACAAAACAGAATAAAATAAAAATGCTTTGCTTGCTCTGCATTGACTTTTTTGTCTTTATACGTAAACACTGATCACTGACATGGAAATGTGCCTTTAATTTTACCAAGCTGATTGCTCACTAAAAACCCAGTGTTGTAGGTCATTTTAAGTTTTATTTTAAAGTTTACTTACTTTTTAATTTTTGTTTTTCCATTAAAACCATAATTTTGTTCATCCAGACTGTTCAAGAAGGAGGGATTTATCACATGAACCAATCATAACCAATCATACCCAGTCATAACACGATGGCGGCATTTCCTCCTCTCACATGACTTTCACCCATTCATTCTCTATTAAAATGAAGTAACAAGAATTACATCAGCCAGTGTTGCAAAGTTACAGTACATTTTTGTCATTAGAAGAGTAAAATCTAACTCTATAAATTAGGCCTACATGGTTTCCAAAAAAGTGATTTAGACAAATGTAACAGAATAAATGTAGCACTATTACCCTCCTTTGGTACTAAGCTCGTGATTTCATGTTGTTTTTTTTAAAGTTTATTTTATTATGATTTCGACTAAAAGTTGCTTTGCCAGAGCAACATTGCAAAACACAATTTTAGAGATCAAAACCAAGTTTGGTTCATTACGAATCTGTGACAGGACAAATTATACCGGTCGCCACAGTCTAGATAATTAATGGGAAACTCTTGAGGGTCCTAAATACACAAAACTTTGTGTAAAACGTTTTCTCACTCATTGTGCATTATGATGCATTATTTGTGCTTCATCAGTCCTCATACATGGAATGGGTGGTTTTTAAGAATTGGTAAAAGTTTATAGACCGCATGAAATTCATATATGGGTTCTGTGGCTTTTAGTTCCCGTGTACAGGGTGTACATCTAAGCTGATAAAAAGGCTTTTAGCAGATAACACATTTCAAATTTCCAGTCTTATGGAAACACTTCTCCATGTATCATCACCGTTACTCTCCTTGAAAATCGGACTGAAAATGCTCTCTCATGCTCACTCATGCACTTGCGGGTGTGTCCAAATTTGTACAATAAAATGCACAATAAAAAGCTCTCACAAATGAATATCACTCCCTGTAATATTAGCTGCCACTGACAAGCAGCAACATTGGTTCATGGCTGTGAAGTAAACCAAATCCTATAGTCTAATTAATCCTTAGCCATGCTGTGGGTCTGAATCTGCTTGTTAAGTTGTGAGGTATCGAATAATGCTACCTCAACCTCTGTTCATGAGCACTATTTTCCGCTGATCATTTAAAACCGTTGTTTTACCACAGTGACACCAGCACTTTAATGATTCTTTAAAAATGAATCGCTGCCTGTGATTTCGCCACAGAGATAAAGGTTATGATTTTTCGGTAGTAGTACAGCAGGGAGTGTATAGTAGCACCTTTTCTTGTTTGTTTTTAGGATCTGAAGGAGCTTTTAGGCCGTGGCACGTGATAACTGTATAGCAGCGTGGCTGTGATTCGGCCGTAGGCATGAGCCACTGATACACAGACAGCTCAAAATGACATAGCCACGACTCCAGGGGAATGGAGCAACAGATCGAGACAGAGACTAGCAGAGGATAGACGGGATTAAAGAACAGACCATCTGTCCATCCCTCGTTTCTCAAGCAAAACCAGCAAACAGCCTCACGTAAGCCACACAGTCATGTCCTCTTTGGCTCCACATGTATGTGCATGACTCTGTTGGGAGTGAGCAGTGTCAGTCCAGTAGAGGCGACTCTGAAATATCTTCATGCCGTGTCTGAGATTTGCATTGGTGTGTGTTTGTGTGTGCCTTTGGCATAATCACTAGCAAACCGTTTATCGTGACTGCGTGTCACGCTTGTGTCACAAGGTTGCTGTCATTTGATTTCCCTGCTGCTCTGCATGCCTGTAATTTGGAACGAACAGGCTGTGCATTTGTTCGTTGTTGTGCTCACAAACACACATATACACTCCTTTTTAAGCTATAGTAGTGGAGGCACCTGATTATCATAGTTTCATAGTGGCGTCCATTTAGATTCTGACTCCTTTATACTCAATATTACATGCCTGGAATTAGGAAAGGGAAACTGCTCGATTTGATCTGGAAAAATAGGAAAGGTTGACTCTCCTAGCTTTTTGGTGATCAGAGGGAGACGCACCATCATGATGAAATCTAAAGGATCCCTCCTCATCCTCATCGGCTGTCTGCCTTTAGCAGGTAGGATGCACCTAAACATGGAGATTATTATTCATTCAACCAAAGAAACTTGTGATTCTTATCATTTTTATTGTCGCCTCACTGAAGACGATGTGCTTGGTTGGTGTAGTGCTGAATGTAGGTAAGATCTCTTAGCTGGAGCTGTTTTCTAATTATAAAAAGCATCACTTAAGAGTTTTTGCCATTCAAGGCCTAATGAATGAGAGTACAGATATATTCCTAACGTAATCAGTATCTTCTTAGTTCACATGTTTGGAATGAATCGTGCACTACTCTATCCCATAACAATTCAGATCTAGTAGCTATTCAGATCTAGTGTCCTCTAGAAGAATTAGGACTTTTTAAACTGCATGTGACCCCAGGTCTCCTCTACTTTGGCTCTCAACTCTGTGTCAGGAGAAACCTTTGATTTTAACTAAAAGATGCATAGACACAAAAGTATGGATGAGGAAGGGTGAACGGGATCAGGACTCAAACCCTGCTCCCCATGTGTCCACTGCACCACTGCTCTGACACCAGGGGCCAGTTGCATAAATTTAGGGCCAGATTTTCTAACAGCTTGTGCCAGTGCAAACCCTCTTTTGGTGTTAAAAAACTACTGTCAGGATTTACTAAAGACGTGCAGTGAAAAATTAGCGATGCAAAGGCCATGTAGACATCTGTGTGGCTGACCTTATTGCATATGCATTTGTAGAAGTGCCCCATTCAGACGCCCTTTCAAGAGAGTATTTACAAGAATCACACAACCTGATTTACCATAGTCTGCGGTAGTCCATTCACTGGTATTTGCTCTGTTATTCACCACCCAAAAGCCTGCGTTAACCCACTTTGCGCTTGACATGGCTGTGATTGTTGATGCCAGGAGGAGGCACCACAGAGGACAGAGAGCGCGATAGAAGGGAGAGAATGAATTTATTTGGAATGCCAGAGGAAGACATTATTTGAACATATACTTACGCAAATTTGTGCTGCTCTTGGTTTTGCATGGGTCATTATGGAAATTATATCTGTGTTCTCAGTAAATAACCCGCAGAACTTTCCACTCCCATCAGCGCTTTTATGAGACTGTGCTCTCACGCTAATTTGCCTTTTGCGTTTATAGTACAACCGGTTCTTAGTCTCTATGTTAAGATTGTATTAAGAAGTAGTCTGACCAACTAGCAGTTCACCAAGGGGTAGTGAGTCTTATTATTCAGATTAGACCAGTGTAAGTTTTTAGGTAACCAACGTAAATTGACACGTTTTAAAGGGGTCATGAACTGAGAAAACAAAACGCTGTGCAGTGCCAAGATGGCGATGGTCCTCACTGCAGAACACAAGATCCAGGGGGCGTGGTTGGATCCAGATTCAACTCCTCCCACCTTACATATACCTAATCCTACCCGTCTCCACCTCCTGATCCCTAAACCCACCCATCTCCACCCCTAAACCTACCAATCTCCACCCCCTAGATGTGGATCCAACCACGCCCCCTGGATCTTGTGTTCTGTAGTGAGGGGCTACTGCCAAGATGTGGAAAAACAGTCTTTGCTTTGCTTCCCTTCTGATCCCAATGTTAGGAAACAGTGAATGTGTTTTATTTTTAATGAAGATCCAGACCACGTCAGTAAGAACTCGGTCCTGTGTTTACTTCATTTTACCGCAGATTCGTTTACAAACAAGGCACAGTTCGACACGGCAATTCAACAATTCGATTTTCAGAAAGTTTGAAACTAAAATATGATGTTGTGCGACTATATTGGATCCGACAGTAATATCGCAACAAACAAAGTGATCGCTATGGCTTTATTTGTTGAACAGATCATTTGATATGAGTATTTATGCATTTTTAACCTAAATCATACACAACTGTTAGCCAATCATAGCAGTGGGCATTTACTTCAGAGTCTACAATCCTCCACGTCTATTCAAACAGAGCGTTCTGATGAGGGGGTTAAAAACAGGACAGAAAATAGACTATTACTTCTAAATTATGTTTTTTTATGTAAAAACTTGATAACATTATAAGTGGACATCAGAGAACAGTACAAAATAAAAACAGAGGCAGTTCATGACCCCTTTAAAGAAAAACATTAGAGGACTAACATGTAAGGCTAGTCTAAGCATTTGATGCTGATTCTGAAACATTCACTGACTCTCCTCCCTCTGTTGCAGTGTTGTCCTTGAGATGCTACACATGCATGTTTCCCGCCATCTCTCCTCTGGACTGTCTGAAGTTCCCCCAGGAATGTCCCGTGGGCCAGCGATGTATTGCCAGCAAAGCTGTAGGAGTTAAAGGTCAACTGAACCGAACACTGCACAGACAGTCACTGCTCTATTGTACTGATTGATTAACAAATGGAGCAAAAGAATGAATCAGCTGAATATTAATCAGCACAGTCTGTGGGCATGTGTGATCCTGATTTGATTTACTTTCCCACACCATCACACACACACAAGATACTTACATCTCGTGTGTGTGTGTGTGTGTTTGTGTAATGTAAGGTGTGGGAAAGTAGTAGTGAAGGTGTGTACTGAGTATGAATTAGAGGACTTTGATGTTTTTAAGGCGAGTTCTGCCCTCGTGAGTGAGTAACAGGGTGTTCCCTAATAAGCCGCCTGGACCTGATTTTGCAGACCCTGTTTTAACACTGCGTAACACGTTTCACGAGTTCGCACTAACATATAATAATATTGAGCAATTAGTAGCATATTTGGCGTGATGTCCAGAGGGAGGGCTCCGAGCTCGAGATAGAGCCCGAACCCAGAGAACTCCCCAAAAGAAGCTAATGGCATGAGACAGCAGCCGAAGAGAAAATTGTTAGTAGCCCCCCAAAAATATGCGTGCCGTGAAGAAAAAGTGGGGTGTGCAAGGAGGCGGCAGGGTGACTGGGAGGGGTCGTGCGGTGCTTGACGGGAGCCGCGGCTCTGCTGTACCGGAAGGGAGAGCCCTGTCTAATGCTGAATAAACCATTAGGCTCGAAACGACGGATGGAGGCACTGCCGTGTCAGAATTGAATTATGCAGGGCACTGCGGCGGTGGTATCAAATTAAGCAGGGCACTGCGGCATCAAATGAGCAGGGCACTGCGGCAGCAGAATCGAATTAAGCAGAGCACTGCGGCGGCAGTATCAAATGAGCAGGGCACTCAGTATCAAATTAAGCAGGGCATTGCCGCGGCAGCATCAAATTTCATTTAACTGATCAGAATTAGATGGGCTATCTTTGTGTGAAAATTATTGGTCCTGAATTGGCTCTTGAAGGTGTCCGATGATCATTGACCGAGAGCTTGGATCTGCTGCTATGAGAGACCTTTTTGAGCTGCTGTAGTTGCTGCCCCAATTCGGAAGGAGTGGCTGGAAAATCTTTCTACGGGTATGCCTGCCTGGTTGGACGAGGGTGAGTTTTAGATGTTTTTGAAACCAAAAACATGTGACAGGGTGGTTACAGTCATCGACAAAAAGAGGGTCAAGAGGGGATGTAGACTGAGAGCTTCTGAATTGGAGGTAAGAAAAAGTGGCTGATATGGTTGGATTGGTGACGGAAGGTTAAAAATTTAGACGTGGTGACCTCTTTTTCCTGATCTGATTTACTTTGTTTGATGAAATAGGAGATAGTTTCGCTGTCGAGCACGGAAAGGTCAGAGAAAGTTGGATGGAGTTTGGGGCTGAATAGAAGTTATTGTGAATTCCAAGCATCTCAGGAAACCAAAAAAGCCAGTATGAACATTGCGTCGAGTCTACGAGCGGTATGAAGTGAGTGGTACCCTGTGCGGAGAATGTGGATACATTTAGAAAGAATGTCTAAAGTTATCGGTTATCTAGCGTCCAGGCTTGGAGGATGAGAGCGTTGAATTCCTTTGATCAAAGAGATGTTTGAGAATTGTTTATTTCAGGAGAGGGGGCGCCGTAGATTAATTTGTGAAAAAATTGGATGCCGCTTAGATAACCCTTGATGGACCAGGCTTGGAGGTTCTTACAGGTGTTAAGGTAGGAAACGAAAAATGTGATTGAGAGGAGAAAGAAAGCGTGAAATGGCAGGTTGTACGAGAGGTGGAAAGCTTTAAATCATCTCCAAGCAGTTAGATAAGATTGGATGGTTCTGGGTGAAACTGCTTGGAGGATCGAACCGAGTGACGCGTTGAGGAGGTTTTAAGGGATGCTTTATGGGAATACGAGTTGCGAATAGTGAGGTACTGGGGTTGGCGATGGGTCCGCCTCCGGAGCCAGCGCTCTGAATTTCTGCGAGAATCTGAGACTTGATGGTATTAGGCACAGGGGGTGGTTCCTGAGCTGCAGCATTCGGTGGGGTAGGTAGTGGGACTGCTGTGAACGAAGTGTACTGAGGTTTAGATTGGAGAGAAGGGTTAGAAGGAAGATAAGGAGGGGCCGTAACCTTTTGTGGAGGTAGCCTCAGGCACGGATTAGCCTCTGGTGCTTAGGGAAGCACGTAGGAAGAGGTAGAAGGAAATGAGGGAGGAGGCCAGTAAGCTTGCGTTGCTGGCTGATGATGCCCTGCTTGGACGTCTGCAGTGGGAGCTGCTGGCCATTGATAGGAAAAAGGAGTAGCGGAAGAGTAAGAATAAGGTGGCTGAGCTTGAGTGGCTAGCGGAGGCAGCCTCACGCTAGCGTCTGCCGCCGGAGGTAGAAGGAAGGGAGGGGGAAGGATAGGAGTTTGGGAAGCTACGCCAGCAGGCAACGTTGCGTGCAGCGCTGTAGCTGAAGGCGCCGCAGTGATTGGTTGAGAAGAGGAGTGAGGCAATGCAGTGTGAGGAGCAGCCGAGTCTGGGACTCGCTAAGGGCTTGCTAACGGCCTGCTGCGTCTTGAAGCTTGAGGGGAGCCGGAACTTGATCTGGAAGACAACGTAATCTTGAATGAAGTAGGGAGCTACGAAGAAGAGGAGCATGGGCTGCAATTGTTAGCAGAGGCAGCCTGACGTTTAAATTGGCCTCTGGGCTAGAGATGGGCTAGAAATGCTGGAGAGCCTGTGCAGTCTGCAGAGGCAGCCTCACGCTAGTGTGTGCTACGGGAGCTGGAGACCACTGAAAAGGAAGAGAGGTTAGATGTAGCAGGAGAAATATGATGACTTTGACAACATTTAAAAAGTGATAAAAAAAAGACAAAAAGACATGCTTTTCCTCATCAGCTGGTAGAGACTTGGAGAGATGTGCCTAGCAGTATGCACAACGCATGCGAATTAGGTTGCTAGTTGTACTTGTTCAATAATAATAATAATAATATTAATAGTTTCTTTATGATACACCTTAGTTGTTAGTTTGCACCTATAATTGTACTCTGTTTAACTTATTTTCACGAAAATCAATCTTTTTCATCTTATCTGTCTACCTGAGTACAATGTGTAATTTAAAATACAGGTAAAATGCTAGTGAAAATTAATACAGAAAATTGGAGTAATTTCATTGTGTGTTCTACGCAGTTTTGCGTCACGGTTACAAAAATGACATCAACATCTATACTGTCACCACATCGTTTAACAACTTTTAACAACAAACGATCTACCTTTAGCGACTTTACCTAAAAATTTAATTGCAACACGGCCTGTGCCGCTAGCGGAGACAGCCTCGCGCTAGCAACTGCTACGAGAGCTGGAGGCCCGGCTACATGTGGCGCTGCGGCCGGAAGAGCCGTGGTGAAAAGTTGAGCCGAAGCGGGAAGCAAATGAGGTTTTGCTGTGATGAGAACTGGGGCGCGGCCCAAGCTCGTTTGAGGCCTGCCGCTGAGACCCAAAGCTCGAGGAAAGCCGGGTCTTGTGCGGGACGATGGTGGTGTCGAGCGAGATGAGTTGAGTCTGTGATATAATGGCCAAAGGAGCAAAACCGAATGCTGGAAAACTGTCGTGGAACACAGGTAAGTTGGCTGTATATATACGTATTGTGCTAGTTAAGGTGATTAGCTGACGAGCTCCACCTGGGCCAGACTGATTGATTATCTGATCGTGCTTCTCCCGAACCTTGTTAATGAAACAACATTTAGGCTACGTCCACACGAAGCCAGAGCTTTCCCTATCTGATCTTTTTTATCCCCTCGTCTCAAGAAATATCTGCATCCACACGAAACCAAGAAACCGAAACAAAACGATGTAGTATACATGCCAGACCAGTATGTGGCGCTGTAATTCTGCCACAAAGATACACTAAAAACGGATAAGAAGACTTGGACTATGCGCATAAAACCTTGCGCTCGGTATACAAACGAACATGGAACAATACATTTATTAATCTGTGTTAATGTTAGTTAATAAAAAGACAATCGTTCAGTGTTTGTTCCTATTTTTGTTGCTGTTACGTGACGTAGTGGTGTCTGACTAGGGCCGAGACGTGGGCTGATGACGTCATCATTTCAGAAAATATACGGATTCGCTGTCCACACGAAAACGAAGGGCGGTGTTTTCAAATTTATCCACTCTGGGACCCGGTTATGTCAAAATATCGGTTTCACTCTCCAAAAACGCCGGATCCGTGTGGACGAAACGCCTATACGATACAAAATTTATGCTTATACAGCTAAACGCGTCTCCTTGTGGACGGGGCCTTTGTTTTGCAAGCGGGGTGTTTACTATCAACAACAGGCATGTGCACACATAGACATCAAAGGGGGCTTGAGCACCTACCCTTTTTACCTTATATACCCTTATATACCTGTGAGATCTTGAGAGATTTCATGTGTTGATTTCCTCTAAGGCTGTGACTAAGTCAGTTGTAGTTATTTCTGTTAGTCTCTCTCTTTTTTTCTGTTTCTCTTTCCTTCAGTAATTCTGCTTGTTAACATTCTCATTAAGTTCAACTCTGCTTCAGTGTTACTTTAACACTCTGTATTGTGGGACCAAATACACTCTGAACAGCGTTGATCCCTGAAGGTCCTCCAAATAACGTCCCCCAACCCTTTAAAGAACTCCACATCATGAGCATCTCGGGAAACGTTTTGGGAACGTCATTGACACCGGCGGGACGCTCTGAGAATGCTCTGGGAACATTACATTTCTAGCGGGGAAATCCATATACCTGACATGAGTGCATCTAGGTCATCCACCGATGAAAAAAGAGGAGTGAATTTGGTTAACAGCTTGTGGAGTGACATAGGTAGCAATGTGATTGGATGATAGTTAACACATATTGTGTTGTCTCTCTCTCTCTTTCTTTTTACACATGATCAACTTAAAATTACACAAAATGTGTTAAAATGGACATAACACAAAAAATGTGTTATTAATTAATCCTTTTTGAGAGTGCATGACTCATGAGCTACCATGTAATAAGTTAGCTAAAGCTTAGCTAAGGCAATATATCATGGGCATACAGGTTAACTTAATGGAGAAACGACAGCTGAATACAGTAAAATTAATAACGTCATCAGAATAGCCACATTGATATGCAAATTAGCTGTTAAGTAATTAATGCACTAATTTGCATACATTTGACACAAGGCGTTGCAGATGAATAGGATAAACAAAATAACTAAAGCATATCACCACACAACTTCCCCAGTTATTAGTTAATGACTTGCATCTTTTCCCTTTAAATGTTATGTTTAAATATGCAGATAGATTGTTTTGGTTAATTTAAAAGAAATCTACAGAAGCAAACAGACCAGGGCTTAAAACAAACACTTTAATGTGTATTTTGGAAATGTCCTTTTCATTAGAGCAAAAGAAGACATGGAAGCAAAATAGACCAAAATCTCAAAATTGAACAGTACATGAAGTGTCCTGCCTTAAACAGTAACTTCATAATCTTGATCTCAGGCTCCTCATCTAATAACTATCCATTCTATTAGCATGTTGTATTCTGATAGATCTTAACAGCCCTCCCTCAAATGTGAAACAAAGTTCTTGTCACCATCAGTTTGTGTGTGTGTGTGCATGGTACAGTAAGTGTAATTATAACACCATTGTGAACTGATTATTTTGTAGACATCTGTTGAATAATGAAACAATTGGGTCATTAATGATATCTGCCTTGTTCTGTTCTGTTAACCCTAGGGGGGTTATTATTGCTGCTCTCCCTGCTCATTCATGGCAGGCTGCATGGATGGGCAGGGAGTTTTTTGCCCAGAACAGAACCATACCGCCAAACCAAACTTTATGCTAAGTATCTATCATTTTGACGATAGTGGTCCTGACAGAAGTGTAATTATAACACCATTGTGAACTGATTATTTTGTAGACATCTGTTGAAAAATTAAACAACATGAAACAATTGGGTGAGTGTGAGGGAATTAAAATAAATTGGTAAGTAAGTCAGAGTTGTGTTAATATATTTAATGTTTTGTTTAGAAACTAATTAAAATAAACATGAGAAGTGTCCTTTTTTTCACGTGAGCCCCTGCCCCTCAAAATGTCTGTACACGTCCCTGATCAACAAAGTCAGGTACATATTGTCACTTTATTGCCATTCTAGCCATATGAAATAGATGATCTGAAAAATATGTAAAATGATAAGCGACAGGTGATTTATTTCTCATCAGGTGTGTGTGGCAGGAAAGCCTGTGGCTGTTGATGGCACAATAATAGTCCAGCATGCAGCATGTTGTAGCTTGTTCAAATAATGATACAGCAGTTTTTTTCCCATGTGCTGTTGACTAGAATGTGGCTTGTTTACTTGATAATGACGGCCTCAAATGAAATGCCTGAATGTCTTTTTGAGATTCAGTGTCACAAAGCTCACAAGCAGCACACATTGTAACAGCCTGGAAACTTTGTTTCCCAATGGACTGGCAAAAGACCTGTAATCCTGGAACTTCTGGACCTTGTGTCTGTTTACACGCACACTTTTCTTACTAAAATTCACAGAGGCTTAGGCTACATGATGCTCAGGGGATCAAAGATCAGTTTTTAAAAATATGATCTGTATGACATTTAACAGGCAAGTAACATTGAAAAGATTAATTTATAAATGTTAATTTCAGTATCGAAACAAACATGCAAACAAGATCTGAAATTAGGTCATAAGTATTGTAATAAAAAGTATTTCAGGATTTATTTCAACTGCATTTATGAAGAAAATAATACTATAAGTCAATTTGTGGTGGTGGAAAGAATTTTGTTCCACTCTGGCTATATAATCACAACATGAGCTGCGACCACAATCTTATACTGCCTGAATAGGCACAGTAGGTTTGTGAAGTCAGACAGTAATTTACCACTCAGCTGTCACCCAAGAAGCATTTGTAAATTCACACCACGAGTAGTTCTGGTGGAACTGTGTCACATACATGTGGCGTTGAGCTTCATGTTTGCATGACCTCTTGCAGTTTTTTTTTTGTTGGTAACTCATCCTTGTGGATATTTTGTTGGTGCAAAACCAGATCATCAGCAATGTTAAATACTATCGGGTGCTGAAACTGTAGTGAATGGCACACTGTGATCTTAGCCCCTTGATTGGGACGCCCTGCATCAGTATTGAGATGTGATGTTTGTGTGTGTCCAGGGTCAGTGTCCATTGTCCTGTACGAGCGGAGCTGTGCCCTGCCATTACAGTGTGACCTGAGCGGAGAGAAACACGCGGCAGGAATAAACTTCAACTACACGAGTGAGTGCTGTGACACGGATCTCTGCAACACTGCTGCGCCCATCAGCTCCCCCCGCTGGACCGGAGCAGTGCTGAGCCTCTGCGGTCTGGCCCTCCTGCTCCAGCTGGGATGAGCAGCTCTTACTCTCACAGGAGGTGCTACAACACCATCAGCAAAGTCTGAGAATCAGAAACACCACGACATACCAACACCGTCTGTTTAAAAACCAATGCATCCGCTCAAATTTGACATGCACACAAGACTGAAACTGTAAGTCCATCTACGCACTTTCTTGCAAACGCCATGCTTGAAGGGAAGTGCCTGCAACCACGTACACACACACACACACACACACACTCTCTCTCTCTCTCTCTCACACACACACACACACACACACACACAGCGAGTTGAGACTCATGAGAATGAGTCATGTATGCTCAAAATACTGAAACTCTTCTTCTAAATATAAATGGTTAAACCCACACAACTGCTAAATCTAACAGCTAATTTGCTTTATTTTTAAATACTAATGACAGTAACTTTTGTGTCATTTTTATTAATTCTAGAAACATAAATGCATATTGTTTCATATGAACAGGCTGTGTTCCAGAGGCTGTTCCATTCCTGTAGAGCACAACACAATATTTTCTGCTCTTTTTTTTACTTATTTTTCAAGTTTAAATAAATAAATCTTTTTACTCTTTGAATTAATTTAATTAAACAATATATATTATATTAAACCTGAACTATCTAAACATGAAGGATCAAGAAACAATGTACTCAACATTTCAATTTTTTATTTTAACTTTATTATAAACTGTATTGCTGAATAACAATTTTAGAAATGCAGAAAGAAAATGACTTTGTTGTAACATCCCTCTAATCAATAAAATCCTCACTAATCAATATTTGCACTGATGCCGTGTTGTCCATTTGTGTGCAGAGTAAGATTTGGAAATGACCATTGAGTGGTTAAGAGGAAGTGAAAACAGAAGTGCACGGGGAGAGGACTGGGGATAAAGCATGACACTAGATATAAAAATAGTTTGGTAAGGTCATCTTAGAAACAGGCTGAATCAACTTAAAAAAGGCAGCAGTTGTTACTGTCACTGGTTTCCTCTTTTTCAGAAGACAACAAATGTGCATGTATTTCATAACTCTCTCCAGGCAATAAATAAGAGTGTTTTCAATGTGGACGTCGACAGTCATAATTAGAGATGGAAGAATATTCTACAGTACATCATATCATATAGCTACAAGATGAGACTGTCGATTGGGGCCAGTAACTGATTGAAAAGAGTTTCAGTTTTTACTTCTCGCATAAAGTATGAAACTTTACACATGATTCCTTTGGAGTACTTTTATGATACCTCCATGATTTTGTAACATATGAGTCAATGGAATGTAAAGAGCAGCTTGAAAACCAGCTTATGAAATGTACGTGACCAAAGCAGCCGTGAGCGAAAAGCTGTCATTACCGACTCTATGCCACAGCGAGAGAGAGGGACAGTAATGGCAGGAATGAGGCAACAACATCCTGTTTGTAACTGCTAGCAATGCACTCGTCCATAAACCAGTGAAAAATACTGAAACACAACCACTATTGCTGCCTGTAAAACATTTGATGATATTTTGTAATGTATCGCTGCAGGCTGCCGATGTGTATAACCACAGAAATGACCTTGACCTTGCAGTTCAGCTGCTTTAAAGAAATATGAACTATAATGCTGCCTTCACGTGCTATTGGACATTTGATAATTCCCTCTTTTTAAGTCGTGATTACGAGCTTGTTGTGTTCAGGTGCTCTGTTGTCAGAATGAATTGAGGATGCCATTGTTTATAATCACATTCACAACAAAGGCATAATGTAGACAAGTTAAGGTTGCTTTCGGACTGAAATGGAAATAGTTTCCCACTGTATAGTTTTACCGCACTATCTATTCTATTCTATTCTGGAATATTGGTGAAACACATGCTATTTTCGCTGTATATAAAATGTATAATATGCTTCAAATGATTATTCATATTTAAATAACCTACTACTTTAATGACAAAACAAGATTAAAGATTAAAGATATTTCCGAACTTCCCACTGGTAAACATGACATCAAATGGCATTCATGCGCACTTTTTTTCTAGGAAACTCGTATTTGCGATAATTCTGAGAGCATGTGAAGGCAGCATGAGACCACGTTTAGTTGAAAAGTGAGACCTCAGCCAGTGCAAACAACCTCAGGAACATACAGGAACCAATTGAAACACTAGGACAATCTGGAAAGAGAATTGGTAATAACGCACATGAGTGTGCGACTGTGTGTGTGTGTGTGTGTGTGTGTGTGTTTCCTTCTTTCTATTTGAGCGCCTTCACGACGGAGGAGTAGGCCACGTGTATCTCCTCATCGCTGGGACAGGTGGAGGAGAACTCCTCTCGGGCATACGCCACATCCAGGTATCGCCACAGAGACGTCAGCGAGCGAGGGATGGAGAAACCTCGAAACTTCTGACACACCACCTGAGAGCGGGGGAAAGAGAAGCTGAGCACTGCATTCGTCAGCTCGTTTGCTTAGGCGTCGCTCTGTCTGACTCACTTTGACGATGTGGAGCTTGGGCAGCAGGTTGCAGTCGGCCAGAGTGAGCTCCTGACCATCCAGGAAGGGGCGGGAGGAGGAAGTGACATCGTCAGCGCTGTTCTCGTCGATCTCGTCCGGCAGAGGAGAGCTCAGGTAGTCATCCAGCTTCTTCAGGGCCTTCAGCAAACCCTTCTCCAGATCTGCACGTGCAAACGGTTAATCAAGAACCCACAAAATGACCTGACAGGCGCAATTTCCTTTTCCTGTGATGACGTGTACTTCCTGTTCGAGTAGGAGCTTGTCCTATTTTTAAAAGCCTGTAAAACCATAATTTTCTATGGCAGTGGCCTGTTCACACCAACATGGATCTGATATTCACATGAGATGTATCTGTTTAGACCATTGTGGACAAAACCAGCAGACGTGCTGAATGAAAATGTGATGCAACACAATCAATCAATTACAAAACTCAATCACCAATCAAACAGTTCCTCTCTGTTGTCTCACACTCAAGGCCAGTCACAAAACACTTTTTGTTCCATTGACCTCCATTTATATTCATGTGAATTCGGGAGACGAAAACGCGTGCGAATTTGGCTGCTTTCCAGTATGTTGTGAACTGAGCTATGAATTCACATCGTTTCAAGATAAGTGACCAATACAATATCAACGTGTCATGTTGTCACCTCTTAGCTGAATGAAATAAACACAAGTTTTTAAATCGGCAGGATTGCATCGTTGCAGTAAAACTGAGTAGATTGAATATTTGTATTGTATGTTGAATTATGTATTTAAAAAGGAGACTGCAGAGCGCGCCATCATATTAGCACTGCTGCAGTACCTATGAAACACAATTAAATGTGTGTGGATTTAGTGGATTTAGCACTGAGCTTTTCAGACCTTGGACAGTCTTGCACGCTGATGCATACATGTGCTCTCAAGCGGCCAAGACCTCAGGCCACTTAACAATCTTTGTAACAAATCTAAAAGACTCTTGCACTCACTGTCGTTCAGCTGCGGGTTCGAATTCTTAATGTAGGCGGAGAACTTTGAGAACACATCCAGACCGGCGGTGTTCGACTCAGGATTGCGAGCTGCCAGCCGTGGGTATCTGTGGTGGATAGAGCGATGAAGAGGAGGAGGAGGACGAGTGGATATGGTAAACGTGACAGCTGTGAAATGTAGGAATGGAATACAAACACAAACAATGGGAAATAAAGCATGTGCTGATGAAGAGAGTTACTTAGGAGGGCAGAGGCTTTCCTCCAGGAACTCTTCTATCTTGTTGGTGTCCGTCTTCACCTCTGTGCCGTACAGCAGGAAAGGAGGCTGAGCCCCAGGAGCCAGGTCTTTAAGAATGTCTGGCTTCCTACTCACAAAACAGAGAAAGAGTTATAGCACACCACTTGTTTCCCAGATGCTACTTTTGCGAAATGCTACATGCATTCTGTGCAGTGCTCTGAAAGCACACTGTTGGAGATCCCACAATGCAATGGGCTTAACTTGACCTTCCATTTTCCAGTGTGAATGGACATGTCTTTTTTTGATTGGACCACCAGTTTTTATTTTTGGAATACAGTGTCAATACAATGTAGCATACTACTGGTCTGAAACGGTAACATTCTAGGTTTCACTTACTTGAACTACCGTATATGCAACTGCAGTAGATTTATGAATGCACAGAAACACCCACCTCTTCATGTCCACGGTGGTCACATTAAAGGTCACGCCTTTCAGCCACAGGACCATGAAGAGCCGCTGAGAGAACGGGCAGTTCCCAATGCTCTGCCCATCGCTCCCTGCCTACACACACATACAGAGGATCACTGCAGCTTTCTGAAAGACTGTGCAGCCCCAAATCATGCTTACGCATAACTACAAAAAAGTACTTGAGTTTTGTTTTTGTGCACAGCAAGGAATCATACTGTACCCAAACTGTGAATTAGACAACCTCCACATTTTATTTATAAATGCAACATAAAAAAACGGCTCTTATCAAGCCACTTCATTGGGACTTGTCAACTGAATAATGAGATCGTAGATTGACAACACTGAAAATATATCACATATTAGGACATAAAAATGAAGGAATCAAGGAATAAATCAACTGTAAATTAATCTATTTTAATGACTATTGGATTTATTCACTTTTTATTTTACAATCAATAAATTAATAACTTGTTCTATAGCACTTTTTTTTTTTCAAACTACTAGCCAAATCGTCCTGCAGTAAACCATTTCTGTCCTGATAGGAGTGGTCTCTTCCTGAATGACAATGGCCCCATCCATAGGTATGAGGGGTCACCCAATGCTTTCATATAAAAATGATCTTTGCAGTGAGCAGATCTCAACCCAGTTGAACGCCTTTATGGCAGATTTTGGACTGAGGTGTTAGACAGCGCTCTCCACTAGCATCATCACACACCAAACGCAGGACTATCTCGTGGAAGAACGGCACTGAAGCTTTGCTGGCAGCACGTGGCGGCCCAACATCTTACTTTCCTGTTCATCGCTGTAAAGCTGCTTTCAATCAATCTGTACTCTATAAAGTGCTTTATAAATAAAGGTGAATTGACTGAAATTGTATTATTACTAAAAACATTCATATGCATTTTGGAGTATGTAAGTATTATTATTTCTTTTATATTTTTAGGGTCATAATTTTACCATCAGTCCAGGGATGCAAAATAGCCTTCTGGCTAATTCTGGCACATTGTACTAGTATTATTGATGTGCATTGACCCTGTCAAATAAACCTGAAATAATAAAACAAATAATAACATTATCACCAACAATAAAAATACTAATAAATAAATGCATGAATATTTAAATCTGGTGCATTTTTCATAGGTAGTTTAAAACTATATTTAGAAAGGAAAACCGCCGTTTTCTATTTTTTTCTTTCACAAAACACAACATTATTGGTGATTTCATATCATCATTTTAAAAACGTTATTACATTATACGCTCGCGATTTTATCATGTTTAAGCCAATTAATACATTACAAAAATGTTATCACGTTAGCAATGCAACGTTTATCACATTGTGTGAAGTTATTGGCTGGGCTAAATCTGCATGAGCTCTGAGCAGTGGCCTGCTCGTGCAGCATCTGACCTTCACGAAGAGCTCCACCTCAGGTCTGTCCTCACTCATGCTGGACTCCGGCAGCTCGAGCAGCGCTTTCACACAACAAACGAGCGGCTTCTGTTCTGTTCCTGTCGCCTTTTCTCCGAGCTCACTTCCGCTGTGCCCTCAACACTTTCAAATTGTGTGCAACTTTTCCTCTTCGAGCTATGAATTTGGCAGTGGGAGGGAAATTTGGAGAAAGTCCAAACGAACGCCGCCCAAAAGTGTCTGATTTCCGTCTACTGTTCGCGTTAGGTATCGAAATCAATAACGCCTACAGCAAGATCTCTCTCACTCTCTCTCTCTCTCTCATATTTCCTGATTTGAACTTCCTCTAACTTGTAACCATATTATAACTGTTAACTGTTGGAGGTGATGCTACAATATACGCGCTCAACTTCTTTGTTCCTGTGCTATTTTTTAACCCGCTATGTCAAACGTTTGCAAACAAACTAGTCAGCTGATCAATATGCATCAAGACACTTGTGTATTCCATATTTTATAAGCACTGCATATTTTAATTAATAGTAAGTAGTTTAAAATAAGTACTTTTCTTTTAGTGCATTTTACTTGTCAAAAAGCAATAATTAATTTGGGCAAACCGAATTGGGCACACTTTTGTTTAGGTATTATTATTATTATTATTATTATATATTATATATTCATATAATATAAACATTCCTTTAAGTGTTTCTGGTTTCAAGGGAAAGTATCATTTTAACAGCCGACGTAATTCTGACACCTAGTGGTAGAAAACTGAAACATGAACATTTAAATTAGTTAATTATCAATCTAACCCTAACCCTAACTAGGCAGTATTGGAATACTGAGCCTACTAGAAACTAAACTTTAAAAAAAAATTCCTCCAGTAATTCAAGAGGTGGATAAAGGGCTAAATTCTGGTTTCACATGTATAGAATTATTTCTACAAAAGACAAATTATTAGAAACAATTATTGTGAATCTGATAAGGACCAAGAAATTATTATAGTTGGCCTCCCTAGTCTGGGAGTTCATTTTTCTCATGGGAACCTAAAAAGTAGGTCCCAAAATATCATATTCGCCCTTATAATCATTTCATAACCATAGGCCAGTTGTGGCCTAATGGTATGGGACGCTACACATCACATCACATTTCTGTTTCCAGTACATGGCCCTGTCACGTGACAACAGGCAAGGAAATGAATGACTCGGATCAGACTGTTGCATCTGTGTGGTCACAAAGACAATGAAGATAGCCAGCCTAACTTTTAGGCAATAGCCCTCCATTAAGCTTAACGAGCAAGCTAGTCTGGCATTGATGTAAAATAACATTGTGCAAGGCCGGAATTGCCACCAAAATGAATAAAAATTACCCCAAACTTAAAGACATGAATTGCCCGTTTGAGTCAATTAAGAAGGTGCTGTTGTCACACAATTAAACCTGTGCAAAGAATCATGGGAGTGATGTGTCAGTCCATTTTACCCTTGAAAATCATCAATCAATCCTTCGTTCTGAAGAGCCCTTTGAAACGGCCAGTTTTGAGCACTTCGATGGAGGGTTGGGAAGCAGCCAGATGCCTGGAATCCCGCAGGAAAACCAGGGTGGTGTCTGACCGAGGCAGAGCCAGAGGGACGAGCGAGCCCAGCGCAGACGGTGGCATGAGGTGGAGTCTGGGGCTCTGAGGCCCCAGCCCAATTCCCAAGGTGGATCCAAACCGCTCGGTGGGACTACAAACGGACGGAGGAGCCGAGGGGCTGTGTGGAAACGATGTCGACGATGGAGATTCAGGGCTGAATAAAGCCAGCGGAGATGCAGGAGATGTATGGCTGGGCAAAACCAGCGGAGGAGGCATTGCTGGGGAACCAGGAAGGAACCAGGGAGAAGAGGAGTGTACCCATAATAAAGGGGAGAGAATGAGAGACCTACCGTCCGTCTCCAGGTCCCAGGGCAGACACACAAAACTCTCAGAGACACCAGATTTGAAATAAAACAAGATATTTTATTAAAGCTGCAGTCCATAACTTTTTTTGGGGTTAAAAATGATCCAAAATCATATATTTGAGCAAGTACATAACCAGCCAGTGTTCAAAACTATCGCCTTACTTTAGCCTGATTCACATCGGTTAGCTTATAATAATGTTTTCTAATTTGAGTGGTACGGGTAGGAATTTGCAGGAATTCGAGCATGCTTCCGCGTCATTACGTCACGTCTGTAAACATAAAGAAGTTTTCCCGGCTAGTAACTATACTCACAGCAGCTGGAATAATTACATTTATCATTTTGATGGCGGATTGTAATCCAGAAAGGATTATGTTTTTATGAAATACATGTGACTTAAATTAAATTCTATTCCAGTTTTAAACGTGCATCTGATTACAGAAAGCCTATGTGGGATTACACAAGTTTTGTATTTTAAAGAGAACCAGTTTGAAGGAAGAATAATTAGCTTCGATATCAAATGATATGACAATTAGAGATTAGACTGTACAAACATGTAACGCTAATACACACTACACGCAATGCTGATGTCGTTAACATTAACAATTTGAGAACAAAGTGTAACTGTTACACCCTGATAAAGGGGGAAAATAGACATTAATAAATGAAGACACGGACTCGTGCTGTTGTCTCTGCGTCAGTCTGTATTGGCTGTGACGCACAGCACAGCTCGCGTCAGCCACAACCGGCAACCTTCGATCTCCCCCTAGTGGACACTCGAATATTACACTTAAATCATATTGATTTTAACTCTCATATTGATTCTTTTTCTTTTTTATTACAGTTGAATCACATTGATTCCGTCATTTATATTATCATTTTGATCTTTGATCTTTTTAACCTCTACATAACAGTAATAATAATTTGCACGGTTTGATGTGATATGAGCTAACCGATTGTTAAGTTTAATCACCATTGGTAGCAACATTAGATTCGTCCGCGCTGGAGCCGTGCCGGCGCACAACCAACCCATGCAAGGAAGATAATCCCACAAATAACTGCAATTGCAGGTTTCAAACAGAGATGGCAACAAAGAGGCAAAACTTACGGACTGCAGCTTTAAATAAACTGTGGGATGTAAATGAACAAAGGCTTCAGAAGGTAAGTTCACGTTTAGTTTGAGCAAACTCTGAGTTTTTGGGCTCAAGAAGATGGGTTGGTTTTGAGCTGGTTTTGTCACCAAGGTAACTTACGCTACACAGCTACCCTGCTCCGGAGCAGGTTTTATTCTGGGTTAGAGATCGCAAACCCAAACCTGACCAGTCAGCTGTGAGCAAAGTCACATATATCTGATGCAATGAAGCCACTCCCCCATATCTCACGCTACAGATTAAAGCAGTTAGAATTTTAAAAACAAAATTGCCCTACTTTTGTGGCTACTTATTTATTATATGTATATTATATTAATTATAATTGTTTATAATTAATATAATATATTCATAAAGTTATTATATGAAGTGGCAATTAATTTTAAGTTTTGCATTTAATATTAGATATTAAATATAGATACATATAGATAAGCTTTAATATATCCAACTTTTAAAATGACTAAACTTATATGTTTTCCTTTTGAGCTCTGTGTGAAACTATATATAAATAATTTAATTCAGTTGATTCCTTTGCATAGTCATATATTTTCTTTCTGCTGCCAAACTTTTGCTGCAGCAGAAGTGTTTATTCCTGCCTTGTAAATGCATTTAAATGTATTTTTAATAACAACATCTTAATCTTCAGCAGAAAAGTGGATTGCGCTGACTCTCGCGAGAAGTGAATCCAGGGCTGCGTTCAGCCCCGACAAAAACGGTGCAAAACGTTTTTTAAATGGAAACGGTGGTGCGTTGAACCATATTCTCAAAGATGAAAGATTAAAAGGAAAAAAGGATTGCACAACCATCAATTAGGTGGCGATATGCACTAAGCATGTAAACGACCATTGAACAAAAGAAGAAGAAAGAAACAGCATGGCACGCTTTTTCTTAGCGTCCGTTTCCATAGCGACTTGTCGATTCGTCGCTCTGTTGAGAATGTCTTGAGTCTTAACCAGGAACATACTATGAGTTGAATGAACCCGGACTCGTTTTTGGAACCACATACCTCGAGTAAGCAAGGCTTGGGGTTAATCAACCGAAAGTTCAGGGTTTAGCTGACGGTAAGTTAACCGTGCTTTCTGGAATACACCCCTGATCTAAGCCAGGTTGGATTTGTTTGGTTTTGTCAGCTATAAACCTACAGTACTCTGAAACTCTGAGTTTGTTCATCTCGCTTCATGCTACAGGCCACTCGAGGAGAAATGCCAAAACAACTCACCCACCAAAAAAAGAAAAGAAAATACATATACAATTCCCTAACTCCCTCTCTGATTAAACACAGGAGAAAATATGGTTCTAAAAAAGGCATCCACCTCCCTACAAGTGTTCCCACATAACTGATTTAGAATAGTGAGAGAATTACAGTTTTTCTCAGTGGCTTTGGTGCATTTCTCAGATCAGAAATGAAATTCTCAAAACTACTTGTTCAACCTCCACATCATCTAGTCATTTGTTCTCGTCATAAAAGCAGTTTCTCATTCTTTTGAACAAGCTGCGATTGCTTTGGTACATTCATGCAATTGATTATGTACATTTATCTGCGGTTTCCTACATTATCGGTTGCTAATGTCATGGTGCTCAAAATGTGTTATATAGTTTTCTGTGCAATAGTCTTACCCTTCAAAACATCTAGTCTTTAGTTCATCGTATAAGTCATTAAATGCTAAATGGTTCATCTAGTTGTCATAAACTGTCAAGCACATTTTTTACACATTATTATTAGACTTTT